GCTCAAAATTTCTTATGTAAATAATTTCTCACTTTTTTTTCACTTGCATTCCTATTGCAGCTATCATGATCGCAATAAATGATCGGACATAAAGCCTAACACATACACATATCTCCATCTTATTTAGCTAAGGTAACGATAAGAAAAGTTAAATTTCATAAAGATTTCGTTATTGAATAAAAAAGACACTATCGTGCATTTACTTTCCCTATTGTAAAGTGTAGGCTTGCAGTTGACACCAAATATTAAACGCTTCTCAACATGCAAAATGTAGCCGTAAAAACGGTTTATTTATAAGAGGAAAAATAAAAATTGAAAAATGAAATAAAATGTGAAATAAATTAAACGGGGGAAAGGCACCCACACATACATACATACACACACATATAAGCAAGTTATGCCTTAAATATGTGCTAAATATAATATTATAATAAATTTTCGGATTGCATGCAAAATTTAAAACATTTAAATTTATTACTACAGCACGGCTGTTAACCAGGGTCTCATTGATGTTGATGTCATTTGATATAACCGCTTATGGCAGGCACTCTTGCAAAGCATTTGGTGCTATGTGATGCCCGGTACATGCAATGCAGGCCTTCTATACCTCTGCATGTTCAACTTGCCTATCACAATGATCGACTATCCGAACGTAATGAAGAGCAAATAATTCCACAAATAATTCGAGTATATTTTTATAAAACACCAAACATAAGATGTAACCTACTCTTCCCCCATTTGAATTAGCAAAAAAAATTTTAGGAAAAAAGAAGAGAACAAAATTGAAGAAAAAACTAAAAAAAAGTTTTTCTATTCGAAGAAATTTTTTCAACTAGCGATTATACGATTAACATTTGCGTTTATAGCATTTTTTTTTTTTTTTCTTTTTTTTGTAATAAAAGAAAACGGATAATATTTAACCGCATCGATTTGGCATTCAATTGCTTAACTCTGCTAAGTCTTTTATAGACTTTTTCAAACTATGCTTTCACGTTTTGCGGACTTATTCTCTTTTTTTTTCCTTTTTTTAAAAAAAAAAAAAATAAAAAAAACAATGTCATCTAATTTTATGCAATTATCATTTACCCTAGAGAAAGAAAGAGATGAAAGAAAAGAAAGTTTTTTTTTTTTCATTTTTCGAATACTTAACCAACTTTGCAATTAATTACAACAATTTACCAGAAATATCCCAGTAGTGGTTTTGTGATGTCTTTCGACATTCTCAAGAGTGGAGTTTTACACATAAGAAAACGGCAAACTTCCTCTCAACCAAGTTTTCGTTTTTCACATACACACACACACACACACACACACACACACACACACACACACACA